AGATAAATTAAGTAACCATGTGAAAGCATGGGTTCTGGTACTATAAAGCTTCATGTCTGATTATTTTGTAAATATTTTATCCTAAATAGTTTTATGCTTATTATATTGCTGCATACTAACATTTATTTATTTTTATTGACTGGCAACTAATCCCAAAATTTGTTGGGGACAGAACCACAGCCCCAATCCTGCATTGAGTTCAATGGGTTTATTTATGTGCTTAAAATTAAGCATGTGCATAAGTCTTTGCAGGATTGGGGTCTAAAATAACAGCACTAATATCTTGTGAATCATTTTCTACAGCTGGGATTCTCCCCTAACCATGGGGTTGGTTCATCCCTGGAGAAAGGCTACTGAGCTCAATGGAGTTTGTCATGGTCTTGCTCCCTCTATCACACATCCTTGGAGTGTGACAGCATCTTGTATAAAACCCCTCATCATACAGATCTGGGATGGAAACTCAGCCCTCTGGCTGGATTCTGCTGGAGCTTATCTCTTCTGAAGTTCAAGAGAAAAGAAAATGAAGAATGGAAAAACAAATGAAGAATCTCAAACTTACCATGGGCTTACCTTCCCTCTGCCTCTGAGATGAAGTCTGGCCTAATGTCCTCGATGGGCTACCAGAAAGAGTCTTGAGGCAATCATTTGGGGTCCAGTCCACTTTTCAATCAGGGGACTCGGTCCATCTGTAGCCATATGACCAGGCTCCATTCTCAGCCAGGATCCTACTCTAGAGAGGGTATTACAAGTCTGTCTTCCTCCCAGAGCTCTTCCCCACCCTCCCCATTGCCAACCTTGGGGAGTATGAGTCACCCAGCCTCCAATCTTCCATACCCAGGTAGTCATCAGCACAGGTTTAGGGCCTGGGAGACTCTGCCCTCCAGCGGAGGCCCACAGGAATCTACCCCTTCCAGGGTAGTCATAGTTCCCAAAAGTGGCAAAGGAAAGAAAAGCAGTATTCGGGCTCCCTTCTGGCAAGGGGCCTCCAGTAGTTTGTAATAGTTCAGCACAAAGCAGGGGGAGCAGAAGCTTGCTGTGAATGGGGAGGCAGAGGGAGGGGAGCTACTGAAACTTGGGGGTGAGGAGGAGCAAGCTCCAGGCTGGGAAAGGACATCCCAGCAGTCTTAATACCAATCCTATGGCAGTTCCTCAGCAGCTTCGCCCTTCCATCAGGAACTGGCATCCTGTATGCCAACAGCTCCTGTCCCTCACCCCACCAGTAGGCACACATGCTCCTGCCCCTCTCCTGGGCCAGGTGACTCCACCAGGACCTGCAGTGGCTGCAAAGTGGGATAGAGCTGGGTCAGGGAGTCATATGAGCATCCACCTCTCCCAGCCAGCTGGGGGCATACACTGTGTCATCCCTGTGCAGTCCCTGCACACCTCCCTGGCTCATTCAGCCATTGCAGCTGGCCAAGTGAAAGAAAAGGGGGAGAGGAGAGCTCTTCCTGTTCCCCAGCAGCTGGTCCACTCTCATGCACTGCAGCAGGCACTCCAGTCCTTCCTCTGGGATCTGCTTTAGCCTTTGCACTCCAACGCACGCACACAGGGGCAGAAAAATAGCCAGGTTCTGCTCTTGTCTCCACAAGATATTGTGAGGGCAGAAAACATTGTGATGGTTATGGGTGGGGCAAGAACATACATAGCCCCTACTCACCCCAGGTTTCCTGGCACTAGACTACCCCACTCTCCTGGTTCTGCACCCTCAGACAAGTCATTCACAGGACTTCAAAAGCAGATATTCAGAGTGTAGCCCACCTGCCTCTTCCCAATTGCTGTCAGGAATCTGTTTATGACTTTACAAATAGTTGCTGATGAAATAATTATGATGTCACAAAGAGGATTATGAGTTCACGTGGAGAATAACCTTTACTTTGTACAAATCCTTTCCCCATACAAATAGCTGTAGTAATAAAGAATGTAGACAAATGATGAAAATATAAGAGATTTACATATAATGAGCCAGATTCCCCAGTATGTATCAGCTGGTTTGTACCACTCTGGATGGATTTATAAGTTTATGAGGTTTGTGTTGCCAGAATGGTGCAAAGCAAGCAGAGCATTTTGGTGAATCTAGATCAATTATTTCTTAATACAGTGTTTTCCATATTTTCGCATGAGGCATAAGTACACTACTGATCACAAAATCAACGACAATTTGAATTTACAATTTGATTGTCCAACATGAAAATGTTTGTCTTTTTATGCATTAAATATGAAATGTGCATAGCAACTCATAAGAAAAGTTTTAAATGTCATTTTAAATGTCATGGATTCTCGCAACCATTTTTGAGTTTAGAAAGAATGGTTGAGAGCATTGTTACAGAAGGTCCTAATTCAACTTTAGTTGAAGTTAATGGAAATATTTCCACTGACTTAAATGGGTGTTGAATCAAACCTTTGGTAATTTGTTCCTTGAGGTGCCTGAAAACCAGTCATCCCAAAATCAGTGTCCAAAAAATTAACTGACCTATCTTATCCTTGACCTAAGCCATAATTTCCCTCACCCCATTCTTCAGTTCTCTCCCTTCTCATCTACAGTACAGTCTCTCTAAGATGGCTGAAGGGGTAATTTTCCTGATGAATAGCACAGATGAGTTCTGCTTTCCTTTAATTATGAACAACTCCGGCTGTTTTCCATAGAGGCTTTATAGAGTTGTGCAGTGGTTTAGGTTCAGCTAGTTCATGACATCACAACAAAGAAATCTTTTTGGCTACCCATTGTGTCTCTCAAGACTCTTATGGCCGGATCCAGTTACAGCTGAAACTTTATCGAAAGATTCCCATTGATGTCAACAGGACTTGGATCAGCCCTTTATTTCTATTTATAGTGCCATATTTACAACACAAGATCCAAAACAAATGAGTCTGTCTTGCCAGAAATCAAACAGAAGAAAGTCTTAGCCCGGGCTACTGCCTCTGGGCCCAATTCTGCAAACCTTTATGCACCAAGACATACCATCAAGTATTCACCTTTTGACTGACAGTTTCTAACTTATTAAATCTGAAATGTGTTTAATTTGATATTTATACTATAGATTTTAAGAGCTGTGAAGAAGATGGCAGAAAAATACAAGGCAGAAAAAGATTTTGAACAGCCAATGTGGTATCCTGGGTAGATCAAAAGGACTACTCATCCACAAAGAGATTAACAGAGGATTGTACAGAGTGAGCTCCTCTGGTTGCACACCTCCAGTAATGGAGATGCTACATAAGAAAAAGAAGAAATCAAAGTCTATTCTTGAGATAAATATTCTGCACAGTGGGCTGAATTTAACCATGTGACTGATTAATGCTAACATTGTAGGGTGAACAGCTGAATGCTTACCTCATTGCATTAAGCTGAATAAGGAGTGACATCAGTGAATGTTATGTGTGCTGAATTGTGCAATACCATAAGCACAGCAGTCTGTGCAGGGGCATAAGCACCTCTGAAACTCCCCAAATTCTTATCCTTTCTTAATCTCATTGCAGTTGTTCTTCCTCTTCTCCTCTGTCTTACCTGCTTCTGAAGTTTTATTTGATTGTGAATTCACTTATTGAAGTTTCAAGATGCCATAGTTACAGAGTGTAAAATATTTTGGTTCTGTGAGTGAATAGTAGTGATTGTGTAATGGTTTATGTCCTTTTAATCTGATACCTCTAATTTGGATGGCCTATCACACCTACTACAGTCTCCTCCAATGGCTGAGCCAGTGGAATTATTCTTTTAATTTAATAGTTAGAAGCCCAGGTTTTTGTAGTCAGGAGTAAGGGCTTACCTCCTTGGTCATGATGTCACCCAAACTGCAAAATATTACTCTCTTCCTTTTCAACTCTTCCCAATTCTTTTGTGCTTTTTTGACATTTTCCTCTTGTTGTGTTGGGGCTTTTCAACCTATTAGCAACTGGGGGCAGGAGCCAGGAATTTCTACTTAGGAGGGCTATGGTGGTTCACCAACTGGAAAGGTGGGAATGATGTTGTTTGCTGGAGAGGTTGTAGTAAGGCTGGCAACTTGGGGAGTCAGGTTACTTGTCAGAGAGGGGAACCTGGTCAGGTTGCTCCTGAGAGGACGGGATGTGAAATACTCATGAATCCCATGACTGTAGTATTGCACACTTCTTCACAAATCCATGAATATAGAGATGTTGAACTGTGACTGCTTAGGTCCTTAGTCATTATTTCTATTCTTTTTGCATACAGTTGGTGGGCTGCCAACAATGTTAGTTGCATATGTAGCTGTGAAACATTGCAATGGCTCAGCAGAATAGAACTGGCAAAATACAGGTAGTGAAATATAGCAATCATCACAATTCCAGATGTGAACTGGGTGCTTAGGATAGTGAGGCATTTGGTAAGTCTTTTGAAATAGCCAAGATTTGTCATGGTGGTGAGAGGTACAAGGAGTTTGGCAGAAGATAACAGAATTAAGGCTCCTATTACCCCTTCCTTGTAGCTTTGTATCCCTTGAAGTCTTTCTGGGGTCTCATCAAAGCGAGTGATCTCAGACAGCAGACTATGATGTCCGATTTGATTAATAAGTCTCTCTCTGTGTGTAGATAGATGTAGCATGTGTTAAAAATTAGTGGCCGCTTCAGATTCCACAGCAAGGTTCCAGGGCACTGAAATGATTTTTCCATAATGCTGCTGCTGCTGTAAGGTTTGAGCGGCTGCAGATTCTTTCCTGTTGACGTTTCCCCAGCCTTGGCAAAACTACCGAGCAGACCGCTCTCCTGTTACAAGCTCCCAACCTGCCACCTCCCCGCGCTCCCCCGGCCGTCCAGTTACCCCCTCCCCCGCATCCCTCTGCTCCCCAGCGCTGCCCTCTCTCCAGCAGGTGCCCACGCTGCACCTCCCCCAGTTGCATCCAGTCTCTGACCCACCTCCGCCTGCCAGCATCTCCCGCTGTCCCCCACTCGCCCACGCCCTCACCTACCCCGCGCCCCAACCAACGCCCCCCGTCCGGGCTCCGGATTGGCCCGCGGGCTGCTCCAATGGCGGCGGCGAGGGAGGGGGCTGCGTGCGGGGGGCGGCGGGGCCGCGGCCGGGGGAGGGACTAGAACTTTCCGCCGCGGCCGGGCCGGACTTTCCCCCGCAGCAGCCCCAGCCAGGAGCGGCGAGCAGAGCGCAGGGAGCGGCCGCCACCCGCCGGGAACACGGACCCTCCGCAGCCGCCATGACTCACTTCAACAAGGGCCCCTCGTACGGGCTCTCCGCCGAGGTCAAGAACAAGGTAGGGGTCGGGGCCGCGCGGGGGCGGTGGGGCCGGGCGCCCCCCAGGGGGCGGGGGAGGGTTCCTCGCTCCCCGCGGGCTCTTCCCGCTCCGGGGCAGGATCCCTCATTGTCTCCCCGGCCCGGCCGGCGTCACCCCTCGCTGCGCCTGCGGTGGGGGCCGTGATCGCCGCCCAGCGCTCCCTTCGCCGGGGTAGGGGCGCGGGGCAGCAGTCGCCGGCCCTCGCCCGCCGCCTGGAGCAGGGCTTGTGGGGCGCGCCAGACAAAGGAGGACGAGGCTCTCTTACCGGCCAGGCGGCCAGCGGGGTGCACCCGCCCCGGGCCGTGGCTCGGGGGGAGGGCGGGCAGGAGAAGGCTGCTGCGGGTGTCCCTGAGGTCTCCGCTCCGCGCGGCCGTGACCCACCCCGCCGCGGAGATGGTGGCCGCAGCGGGGAGAGCGAGGGATGCTCCGGGCTATGTGGCTGGAGTCCGGCTCCTTGCTGGTGTTTGCGGCGTGTCTGAGGTGCGCCTAGCAAGGGCAGCCCCCTGCTGAGCCTTCTGCCAGCCGAGCCGCCCCCCCCCCCCCCCAGCCAAACGCAGTGCTTAATGTGTCATGAAGGAGCCCTGGGGCTCAAGCAATTGGGTACCAGGGCGTAAGCAATTTTTTTTTTTTACTTTCACACCCAGAGGTGCCCGGGCCATGAACTGCTGAGCCTAGAGGTGCCAGGGCTCAGTCCTGGCAAGCCTGGAACAAATTAAGGCCTTGGCAAAATGCCTGACTTTGCCTGACCGCTCAGGGCATATTCGTCTAGCAGTAAACGTCGTTGTCACACTGAGGAATACGGTGTTTTCAAAGTTAATGTTCCCTCCTAGAGTTTCCTAGGAGCAGCAGACTCATGTAGTACGTGTCTGTATCAATATGTAATATGCCAGCGCCTTTTTTCTCCCCCAACAGTGCGACTCATTCCTTCTACCTGGCTGCATCACTGCTAGTGCCCCCCACCACATCCATGCTTATCCCTTCATTGACTACTTTCTACCTCTCTGCCCCTCTCCCCCCCAACACAGCCTTTCCACTCTTGCATAAACTCCCCCTCCCCTGTCTTTCTAGTCTGTAACTTGCTGAGAGGATGAAATTCCTGATTCACCTTTGAAGCTTTTAGGGTTTTAACTCTCTCCATTAGATTTGCATACAAACAGACTGTGTGAAAGGTGGTGGAGGAGCTGGGTGGTATTTGTCTCCTTGTTAATTAGTGAGCCCTTTGGTCTGGGAAAGGGATGAGAAATCCCCTCTCCCCAATAATTCCAGCCCAAAGCTCCGATACATTCCAATCATATTACATCATGGGGTACTGAGGAGAGACCAGCCAATCGCGTGGGCGCTGTGCACAGAATGCTCATTGTCTCCTCTGCTGCTCCAGCCAAAAGGGGGTGGGTAGAAGAGTCGCACAAAGGAGGACTAGGGAGGGTGAGGCCGCAGCAGCTACTGCTGCTGGGGTTTTAGTTTCCATTAGTCTCCTGGGGAAATAAAGCATTTCAGGATTGCCACCATCACATTCATCTCATTGCCTAATGCAAAAAGGCATGCTCCAGTGGCACCTAAGCCACAATAAAATATGTTCCTGCAGTTGTACAATCATGGCAGAGACACATGGTACAGATAATATTAATTCAACAATTGCATCTCCTTTTGATAGTGATTTTAATCTGGTTACAAAGTGTGTGTGAAAATACCTCCCAAAGTACCTATGTTTTGATATTAAAACAGTTCTAACATTAGTAGCATGGCCTTTGAGCAGCGTTTCACTGGTTTTCTTCTGTTTTTGATTTGGTTGTTCTCTCTCTTCCATTATTCTGCTCTTTGAAAGATGCTTTTATTAGTATTCCATTAAATCAAATCTTAAATGATGATAGTATTCAGAGCTGAGCATTTGTTTTGGCACAGGCAAAAATCTTTTCAACACAAAGTACACTACTAACACAACCATGTTGCTTACTTCATAATTGGTTGTTTCACTTGTTTGCAAAGTACCAAATCCAGCATCAGACTTGACTTAAATTCTAATATGCTGTTTCATACTGATTTATAGTCCAGTGGAATCATTGGGTGCATTTTTATTTTACACTTAAGACTAGCCCAAAAATATGTAGAGGATTTTACAAAACATCCAAAATATAATTTTCCTCCTTGATATCTATTGACTTTCTAACATAGTTATGTTTAGTTACAAACCTTGGGGAGTCTGGCTAAGCAGATGCCTATTTCAAGGAGTTTCTTTTAGATTTCCAGAGTTGTTTGTCTAGTAAAGTTATGGTAAAAATGTATAAAACATTTGCGCATGTTAATTAGAAGAAGTAATGCCTTTCTGCCCGATTAAGGTTCTTGGCTGTTAACAGAGAAATAATTTTACAAGTTGTGAGTTATGTACATGGAGTAGCAAAGAAGCTTTGTGTTCTTTCTTCCACTTATTTTCATCAACTTCCTTAATCTACTGGGCCCCATGAATGTCTGACAGCAGTCCATAATACTCTGGAACTGGAACCTATTTCCATAGAGACTTAAATGTTTCACCTTGCTGAGTCCTTGTTATCTGAGTAAGGAACTGGTTTCTCTGCTTTCTTTAATAGGATTGTCTTTCCAAAAAGATTCCCTCCATATGCAACTTATGGTTGATTTCTATTCTGGCTTGTGGCTTCACCCAGTAACATCTGTCAACTCCACACCAACATAAAGGATTTTAGAATGGAGTTAATTTCTCTTTTTGTAGCACCGGGCATCTGTTCTCAGAATTTTGTCCTTAATGCAGAGATCAAACACAAGATATAGTGCAGCCAGACCTACAGCTTCTTTCCTAAGAAGAAACTTGTGTGTGAAGTACAGTAGAACCTCAGAGTTATGAACATGAGAGTTACAACCAGTCAAGCACACACCTCATTTGGAACCAGAAGTATGCAGTCAGGCAGCAGCAGTGGCAGAGACTTCCCCCTCCCAAAAAGCAAATACAGAACCATGTGTTAAACATAAACTACTAAAAAGTAAAGAGAGAGCTGCATTTTTCTTCTGCATAGTAAAGTTTCAAAGCTGTATTAAGTCAATGTTCAGTTGTAAACTTCTGAAAGAACAACCATAACGTTTTGTTCAGAGTTACAAACATTTCACAGTTACGAATAACCTCAATTCCTGAGGGGTTCATAACTCTGAGGTTCTACTGTAGGTCTTCCCTTCACGTAAAGTTCCAGAAGACCAGAAAGAAAAGGCTCTACTAAGGTCCAGGTGGTCCTTTCCTAAAACTTCTTGTGTTTTGAGAATGAGCTTTGTTGATCAGTTGCTTGATTCATTTTTTTTTTTTTACTTTAGTGACCCAGTTTTGTCACACCCTTCCAGACATGCTTTCTAAAAATATTCATGCACATGGCAAACATTTATTTTTTCCTTAAATTTTGATACTAGTCTTGTTTTGATTGTTTTCTGAGCTGGGTAGAGAAGTTTCTTGATTTGGTTTTATCATCTCATTTGGCATTGTAACAGTTTTCAAAGATATTTGTTACTGTTCTGTTGTTTGTAAGAATTTTTTTTTAAACAGTCTTGGTGCTCCAAAAGCATTATTTGATTTTTTTTTTAAGTGTAATTTGGAGCTTCAGAAGCTCCTTCTACTTTTTCCATTACTAAGCTATAACTCCATGTTTACTCTGAGAGAACTTGTCTTTTCCCTTTTGTTCCTAACCTCTTAGTCATTATTAGTAGGGTGCTTTGCCTCTCTTATGGGAAACATTCCTCTCCCCATTCAAACAGATGTCTTTATAATTGGTGGTAGCAGAGGTATTCAAAGGTCTTGTCTACACAAGAAAATTGTACGGAGTTAGTTAAATCCATGCAACCCTTTTGTGTGGATGCTTTTGTTTCAATTTACAAGTATCTTCTATCAAGCTTAAGTTGATTACTTACTGACTTAAGTTAAACTGATAGAAAGTACTCTAAGCAAAAGGAGTGCACATATAAGGGAGTTAAATCACTTTGTACCAATTTAAATCTGTTTACAACTTTGTGTGGGTAAGGTCTCGGAACAAAGATTGATTCCATATTTTGTGTTGCCTTCAAAAGACTGGACAAAGTATTTCTGTGGTATCAGTAATGAAGTGGGGGCCAAATAAAACTATCCTCAGTCAAGATACAGACTTTGCCTGACGTTTTACTTCCCCCTCAGTGTACTGTTACAAATGAAATGGCTTGCAGTTGGCAGGAGTCTGTGCTTCCGCCTTGTGGAAAACATAAGGTGCCAGACAGTGTAGGGGGAAAGGGAGGAATTTATTTTCTTGCTGGACCAGGGCCATGTACCCATCTCTTTCCAATCTCTCCTACCCTCTTCCCCTCTCCCTCCCCCTCAACAAAAAAGCAAGCCTCTTCCCCATCCTGAGTATCCAAAAGGCATGAGACCTCTGGGTGTATGGGCATTTACTAATTTAAGTTTTTAGGATGTGTTGACAGACCCCAGCAAATGCCATTATCCAAATGCTATATCTGCTGCTCCTTTCTGCTGGGGGTTGTGGGTTTTTTATACTTTTAGATGGTCTAATTTTTCCCACAACTGGGAAAGGAAGAATAGACACAAAGGGAGAGTGTTGAACTTATTGGGGGCAGTGTGTCTGTAAATTTGGCTTGGTATTGTGTTCCCTATATCTTACTGCAGGGGTGGGCAAACTTTTTGGCCCAAGGGCCGCATCTGGGTATGGAAATTGTATGGTGGGCCATGAATGCTCACAAAATTGGGGGTTGGGGTGCAGGAGGGGGTGAGGACTCCGGGTGTGGCGGGAGGGGGCTCTGAGATGTGCCCAGAAATGAGGAGTTCAGGCTGTGGGAGGGGGCTCTGGGCTGGGACAGGGAGTTGGGGTGCTGGAGTGGTGGGAGGAGGTGAGGGCTCCAGTTGGGGGTGTGGGCTCTGGGGTGGAGCTGGGGATGAGGAGTTGAGGGTGCAGGAGGGTTCTCCGGGCTGGGACCAAGGGGTTAGGAAGGGGATCAGGGCT